AACAACTTTTGGGAAAGCAAGGCTATGTGAAATTCAATGGAAACGTCAGCTCAACTCATATCATTGTGGATAAATTCTACTACCAGTGCTTCATCACCTTAGACAAAATAGGGTGAATACATCTCATTACACTGATTTAATGGTAGTCTCGAAACCCTACTTACTTACGCATCCCAACTGTAGCCAAGCGCCTGGGAGTGAAATGTTCGTGCAACAAGTACCTCAGCAACCAGATCGTCGGGCTACCAACTCTCTTAGGCTGGACGTACTTCCCAGTAAAACGTAATAATTGTTTAGTCTACTTCCATTTCGAGTGAAAGTGTTTGGTAAAGAGATTCCAAGCTCGATTGCACGGATACCTCTTGACCAGCTTTCGACTAGCTTTACTGAAACATGCATGTTGCCATTGTTTCCGAAGTCATCTTCTTCCATTTCGGCGCGAAAGTGCTAAGCTTTTGTCCGTTGTATGATGAACATCGTCAGAGCACGAGTTGTCTTGGTTGTAAGGATGATACTCTTCCTGTTCTGATGGTGCTCGTTGTACGACGGACGAAAGATTAGCCCTTTCTCACCGGAATCGATGACGGTTGCTTCGGAAACAGCGTCAACAAGAATGTCCCGCCGTCGTCTTCTGGTGGAATCGAGCTTGAAATCTTGTCAACAAACACTTCCAACCGAAATGGTAGCAAGCTCAGCAATTATGGAAGAAAAGATTCCTCGAAACCCACATTTTCTTCGCAGATAAACGTAATAAGTGTATCACTATCGTCGGCCAGGCCAGAAGGATAATCTCGATCCAGGACGGAAATTACTTTAATTCTGCAAATAGTTGAAAGCCATTAAAAATAGAAGATACTACTAAATAAGTGGGGGGGAGGATTCCAATTGAGGATGTCGTACAAGAAGCGACCCAAACAAATGAATAGTTATGGAGAGTCAAGCAACACAATGTCCTCTTCCGAAGAGGACTTTGCGTCTTCGGTTGCACGAGTTTAGGGCACGCAAACTCATTCCAGTTGCTTTTGTGCTGATTTACTGACGCTTTCAATGGTATGATGTACCAGATCCAGCCCAATCGGAGGCATTTATCAAAAGGTGATGAGTCATAAAAGTCATAACAAAATGAGGTTCGGTGTTCAAGAGATCGCACGTCAAACTGGTTGCCGCGTGGCAACTGTTGTCCAGTCAAAAGGTTACCTTTGCATTTTCACCATTTTGTGAAGTGTTGCTCGAAAGGAAGAAAACATCTCGGACCGAATGAAGCCAAGTGGGTTTTTCTTTCACGGGAAAACTTGAGGATAGCAAACTCCGTGACCGGCTCGGCAAAATGCCCACAGCAATACCGTCCACAGATTGGCCTTTGATAGCCCTAGGGAAATAATGCCCAGCCGTCATCTGCCAGGTGGTAATCAAATGCTGCTCATTCTTGCTTTTGGTACGGATATAGCCTACAGTCATTAGTTTTAATGAATTAAAGAACATCGTTTTCTCGGCCCAACTATTCCACACGCAAACATAGTCGCTGATGAAGTAAGCTGACGTCGAATAACAAAATGGATGTTCTAATGTCTTAAAAAATTGTTGGAAAGGAGAATATCACCATCGGCACGATGCGATTTCGTATATTTCCCATTTACTGCAAGCCCATTTGACTAGACTCAAAACATGAATTGGTGGAAGTGGGTCGACCTCATTGTCTCAACTTGGTCCTGTTGTCATGGCGACTATGTAGAAGGCACCTAGTCCGAAGTCGTCTGCCATATTAGTTGTCATGATTCCCAGCATCAAACAGTTGACTTGGTACATTCTCAAACGTTTCGCCGGCATCATCAGCGAGTCTTGCCATTCTCCGCACCGAGCTACGAAAGCATCAGAGACAAATGAAGTCAATATTTTGAAGCATACAACATTATCTATTCCAGAAGTGGGTTGACCTCTTTGTCGCAACTTGGTCTTGTTGTCAGGGCGACTGTGTAGAAGGCAACTAGTCTGAAGTCGTCTGCCATGTTAGTTGTCATGATTCCCATCATCAGACGGTGGACTTGGTACATTCTCAAACGTTTCGCCGGCATCGTAGTCGGCAACATCAGTCAGTGTTGCCATGCTCCGCACCAAGCGACGAACTCGTCAAACGTTCTGCCGAGGTGAACCCACTTCTATACCACGAAAGAAGACTGCGACCATACCAGAGACCACACCATCTTGGTCTTCATATCTTCAATGAATTGGTAGAGTTGCATATTTCACTCGGCGCAACGCTTCCACACCCTAATAGCGTCTGTGGTACAGTAAGTGGACTTTAGCAGATACATGAAGTACTGTCTACAAATACGTTTATTTCCCACAAATTGTGTAATGGAGAGAGTGAGAGAGCACTCTTATCATGCATCATATTCCTCTTCTAAAAATGATTTGCCTTGACCTAGTCCTGCCCAGTTTTCAGGCCGTTGGTGTCCCCACTGCTTTTGGCAAAACACTCGAACACTCTTCACCGGCGTCGTCGTCATCATCGTCAGAGTCGAGTAGTTTGTCGCTTTGACGAATGGCAGTTCGGCGCTACTCCAAGTCCAGCAAAGAGCGTGTGAACTGACTGGAGCATCGGTCAGATGCCAAGGCAACATGAAGCATTGATGAGGTCGCAGCAAAGTTTACAGGTACCACGACCAAATTCACAATCACGCTGTGTGTGCCCTATTCTCGGTGATCTAAAAAAGATTATTGCATGCATGACGCCGTCGTCTCGTAATGGGTCATGCTGCGAATGCAATCTCAGACAATATTTGCAGACTTAAATCAACTTTATTTAAAGTAACATTTTATGTGTTTCAATACGGTCCAAGTAACTGCACAAAGAATAGAATTTTCCTTTGGCAAACAAATGACAATATATTTTAAGCAAGTTCAAAGCACCAGATGGTATTTCTTTGACACTTAGTTACCATCTGCTCAGGGCTGTAACTAGCTTGGTAATTAGGTTATTAAAATTGGGCACAAGGCAATACAAAACGTGAGTAATGCCTAGTTAACTTTCACTTTATGTGAAATTGTGTGATACATAATGTGAAGATAAGCTTAAAATGACGTTATACCCGACTGCATTCTTTGGGCACCCTTCTTTGGTACCAATGAAAGTGATTCAACATTAATCTGCAACACCTCTGCCAACATAGTCAGATCTGCACTCCAATTAATTCAAATCAAGTCAAAAAAGCCAAAATGCCCATTTCTATTTGCTATTTAGCCTCGTATTTAAAACACGTTTAAGATGCATTTAGTTATTTCATTTTTGTGTAGATTTGCGTGCCTTCCGTGTGTGTGTTTGTGGGTGGGTGGGAGGGTGGGTATGAAAACCTAGTGATAGTTTTACATTATTGGAACACAGCCTCATTAGCATCGTTCAGTAAACCTTTTGATTCGCAGAAATTCAGCACTTCAATAGCCG